CCCCCCCCCCTGCCCTCAGCAAGATTACCCCCATCCTGTTCATTAGAAATCAAAGCTCTTGCATTTATGGCACAGTCTCAGATAAGTATAGCGACCGGTCTTTAGCTGCACACATGCTACGTTATCTGGTCCGCTGCTCATTCCTGACATGGAAGGAATTATATACAGCCCTCTCTTTGAAGATGAAGGAGGCGATTTCCCTCATCTCACTAATGCTGGGCATTATGTAGCTCATGATGTACACCCCCCCCCCTCACACACACACCCTCCGTCTCTGGTTGTTTTGTTTTACGATGGGATTTAAGAATGCTGTTAATGTCTCTTTTTCCTTTTAATTGAACGTATGTAATAACGCAACTGTTTTCCCTTTCCTCCCTCCCCTCTTCTTCTCTCTCGGTGTTTAGAGAGGCGGCAGTAATGATGATTATGTTGTGGTTGTTTTACTGTATTTTAATGAAATAGCAAAGTCCAGTTGTCTCTTTCTCTCTCTTTTTTTATTTGATCCCCTTCTCAAGACACCCCATGTCATTTCGACAATCCATAACGAATGGCTGCAATTAATGAAATTATGAAGCCTCTATTTATGTGTATTGTTTAACACCCTCCAGCAGCTGGCTTGCCAAATGAGTGTCTTTCCTTCCCTCGGCTTCCTTTCCCCCCCCCCTTTGGACAAAGAATATACTTAATTTTTATAAGATGAACTATTAAAACTTTAATTTGCCAAAGCTGTTTACCATAAAAGCTGTGACAGGAACCGTAAATAACAAGAGCGCAGATTTTGAGTTTTTACTTTTCCTTTCTTTTTACAAGGCCGTAAAGCGACCAAAATGCTTCTCTGAGTGTCAGGCATTAAAACCCGCCGCGCCTTCAGAGGAGCTTTTAATGAGCTCGGAAGCTGGCTCGGCGTTTCCTCTCCGCAGGCTGTCTGTCTTTGATTTGGACCCATTATCGCCCACAAACAGGGCCGCCGTGGCTCGCGCTGCAGCCATTTTGTGTGCAGATGTGAATGGCCCTGCTTTAACCGGAGGGCCCCTGACCCNCCTGTCGTGTGTGTGTGTGTGTGTGTGTGTGTGTGTGTGTGTGTGTGTGTGTGTGTGTGTGTGTGTGTGTGTGTGTGTGTGTGTGTGTGTGTGTGTGTGACACACACACACACACACACACACACACACACACACACACACACACACACACACACACACACACACACACACACACACACACACACACACACACGACAGGGCCTTTGTTGCTCCTTGTGAACGGGGAAATGAAAACATTGAAAAGCATTAAAACATGTCCATGTGCAAACAATTGAAAAGGCTGCCTTCAGGCAATTCCCCTTTTTTTGATCCTCCGCAAATACTGAACAAAAAGCCAATGTCAAAAGTTTAAATGGGGGTGAATATTTTAAATAAAATGTGGTTTGACATGTCTGAAAATGGTCTCTTTGAACAGTAATGCAAACTGTGAATGTACAGTTAGTATGAATGTGTTTTAAATACGGACCAGGATGTTTCAAACCAAGTATGCATGTGTTTGGCTGGGTTTAACTTAGCGACAACTAGCATGTATGTGGACGAACTTAAAGTGTGTGTGTGTGTGTGAGAGAGAGAGAGTGTGAGTGTGTGTGTGTTTGTATAGGAAGGTGGCAGCCAGTAGGTACAATCCGCCTTCTTTCGTGAAACAGATTTGATGTTGCTAGATTTTCCATCACATTTCAGATTCAAGCAGCAGGACACTAGGCGGAAATCAACATTCGAACTGAATGAGTTTCATATTTTTTTCCGGGCGGGGGTGGGAGGGGTTTCTGCATCTAATGGACGTATCTGTGAATTTTGGGGTAAAGAAAAAAGGGAGTAGTTGATTGCAGAGGGGATTGGAACAGGGGGCGGGTTTGGTTGGTGGTCGGGGTTTTAAGGGAGTTGTTTAATTTAGTTTTTACTTATCCTCACATTTCTGGCTTGCGTACGCACCATGGGGGGTGCGGTGGGCGGGGTGAGGATGGCGGCCGGGGGCAGACTGGCGGGAAAGGGCGTGAAGGTGTGCTGGTGGGTGTGTTGGTGCTGGTGCATGTGCTGGTGTTGGTGAAACTCGGCCCTCAGGAGCGACACGGGGGCCAGCGGAGAGGCGGACGGCCCCCGGCCCCGCTCTGAACTCTGAACCAGGAAGCGGTTGTTCAGCTCCTGCCTCAGGAGGTCACGCTCTGTAAGAAAGGAGAGCGAGGAAAACCAAAAAAAAAAAAAGAAATAAAAGGGGGTGGGGGAAGGGGGGGACACAAGGGAAGAAAAAGAGGGCACGGGCGCCGCGTCAGTTTTCACAACAAGGGAAGAAGAGAAAATAGTCACCTGGCATTCTCTGTTTCTCCAGCTCATGCTGTGAGGGTTTTCTACGTGGGGACTCATTGGTGGCGGTAAGAGAGTTGCCTGTGACAATGTGCCAATCAGAATCCCCGAATGAGGCTGGCAATACATGATAGGTTGGTTGAATGATATCAACAGGCTGGTATCTAAAGACAAGAGAGAACCAAGAGTCATCCCAGCAGAAAACACACACACTCTGTCCCTCCACTAGCATACTTATTACAGCCATCATCGCTGTTTGCAGCATGTTTTGGTCAAATTGTTAAACGTATTATCAAATCGTTATAAATCACATATTGTTGGCAAGCGAAAAACATAATTCTGGTTGTTGGGGTGGCATCAGATTGCAGACTGAGTGCACCGTTTTGCAACTGCTGACTGGTAAAGTGCTGCTTTCAGATGTCTCCCGCTGTGATGATTGTCCAGTTGCTAGCTGACATTTCTCCAGTGTAGCATCCAAGCCGACATACACCGACCTCATCACCTCTCGAAAATTACTAAGCTTCTATGAAGACAGTCCATCGTAGAAATTGAAGTGAGCTCTCCTCCAGAGAAAATAAGGCAGATGTTAAAGCATGTCACTTGTGGGAGAGGCAGCCCAGGATTGCTTTTTAAATTATATCTGATTTATTTCCATTTTGTGCTGCATAAGTGTGGTGCCATTTTTCAAATTACTCATGAGGTTATTTGGGGGATCTGAAGCTGCTAGACTGCTTTCATGACATTTCCAGAGTCACTTTTTAGGAAAAACTTCTTCAACTGGCTTACTTTCTTGCAAGGAGCTTTAGTATTTCATGTTATGTGTATTTCATTTTATTATTCACTCGGCATAGGCTTTGATAAAACTGTGATCTGGAAAGCTTAATGAAAGCTATCTTTTCATCACAACACAAAGGCCTTGGATACAATATGTAGTGTTTTTACAATGAACTACATCAATGTTTCAGTTCCATGTATAAAAGCAGAGGGGAAATAAACATACATACAAATTGGAAAAATGTATTAAAGGATACATAGGAGATGTAATAAATGGGCACTTACCATATCAGCAAATCATATAAGAACACTTACTAGACTAGTTTGAACACCATATAAACCATAGTGTGTCATTAGCTAATTATTACAGGATGAATACTAGATCTCCACCCATTGGTACTTTAGATAATATAAAACACACCCTGGAATATCAAGGGGGCATTTCACTTTGTTACAAACACCTATTTGACATCAGCATTTTTGACGATGCAGCTAAATGTGTTATGACAACACTTTAGATTTTTACAAATGTTCATTCTTTACAGTTCTGATACACTTCAAATAATACAATACTATTATTGGCAGCACTTGAAAAAAAAAAAAAGCCAATGTTGGTTATCAAGCTGCTATATATATACTCCGAGTTGTGCTTATGAATCTTAATGAAAAAGAAAAAACATTTACTTCTCCTAGAGTTCAAAGAAAGGCAAAATAGTCAACAAGAAATCGACCAGCTAATCAAAGCGTGGAGTTTGTTTCATTTGTGTTCAACTGGATATCCTATGAGTTTGTGTCTGAACTGGAGCTACTGTATACCCTGTGAGATGCGGGGGCCTTTACCTGGGTAGGGGGTGCCGGCGGGGTGGCCGGGCACTAAGCTGTTGGTCGGTAGGGTTGGTGGCGGAAGTGAGGCTGGGGTTGCAAACATGGCCGGATGGCGATGGGCCGGGCTCCGTAGGGAGGAATAGTGCGAGGTAGAGAGGTTCGCTATAGAAAGAGGCAGGGCGGGGGCGGAGGAGG